GGCATGTCGCCCTCAAGGAAGCTTCAATTTTCATTAAAAAGCAGCAGCAGCTTCTACTTTATGAAATCTCATTGGGGAGAAATATGATACACACACAAGAGAGAGAGTTAAATAATTTCCCCTTGCATTTTTTCCATATATTTCTATTTTCTGGCCAATGCGTTGCATCCCAAACCCCCAACCTGCTCCAGGGGGTTGTGGGGGGGCATGCCAGGGGTATGATTTATGTATGGCTAAACATGTGTAAAATATCCTTTCAGATCTTTGTGCATTCAGGAGAGAGCAGGAACGCTGTGACCATCTACAGTTACATTCGGTTTGTGTCCTCATACGTTTGGCAGAACACCAGAGTAGCGCTATTGTGACTCTCCTTGCATTATCCCATTATCAGAAAGCTATGTGTTTTCCAGGCCAAGGAGAGTCATGGCTGTTACCTCACTTCCTGTCACCCTGATGACAGAACAGCTAATGTCTGACCTTTGCTTTAGAACAACCGGATGCAGGCTCCTCCCACAGCGAAGTCAGAGACACCCCCCCCCACCAAAAAGCAGACACACATTCTCCTTTAACAACTAATTGATTTATTTAACAATACAAATTTCTTTCTACCACTTGGTGTAAGCAGAGAAAAGTTCAGAAACAAAATTATTCTTATTTTTTTAAAGTTTAAATGTTTACACAAAAAAACCCCAACCTTCAGTAAATATAAAATTTACAGACACACACACAAAAAAAACCCTACATGAAAAAGAACAGGGTTGTAACAAACCGATGACAGAAAGAGAATTCAGACTCAATAATCAAATGTTTGGTAAAGAGGACAACGGGCAATAGTGAAGAAGCATCTCCCTTTGAAGGTTTCTGAAATCTGAGGTGCAAAATGAAACAAAGTACATTAAAAACAAGAACAAGATTTTTAATTATACTCTATATTTTGCGAACCTAAATATTTGAAAGCTTTGTAGGTCACATATTTAATATGTGAAATATACAATTTGCAGCTCGTTGTAAATCCATGGGAGTGTTGTACATGCAAAGTATGGGTGCATTTTTTTCGGGCATACGGGAACCAGCAAAATCTTTTGAGTCTTTCCCCACACTCTTAAGATGCCTGGAAGTTGTAGGGCCTTAGTTCTCTTAAGTTATAGTGCAAACCTACAAAGTGTGCATGCAGTATAAACTCCACTCATTTTAGTGGGACCTTCCGTGATCCACTGAAATGGATGAAGGTTGCCTAGCAGAAGCACCCTACAGATCACACCCTATATAATGTGCTCCCCTTACAAAATGAGAAGTAGGCCTAGATCTCGCTGAGGTTTTTAGTGCTGTAGACTGAAGTCAGCGGCTTATATGACCAGAACTGCTGGGATAGCTCATTCGGTAGAGCACAAGACTCTGAATCTCAGGCTCGTGGGTTTGAGCCCCATGTTGGGCAAAAGATTCCTGCACAATAGGTAGAGGGTTGGACTAGATCAGGGTTCCCCAAACTTAAGTCCCCAGCTGTTTTTGGACAACAACTCCCATCATCCCTAGCTAGCAGGACCAGTGGTGAGGGATGATGGGAACTGTAGTCCAAAAACAGCTGGAGATCCAAATTTGAGAAACCCTCGACTAGATGATCCTTGGGGTCCATTCCAACTCTACAATATGGAGAAGCAATGGAGACTGAATACTTCCATGTACACAGAAATCTAGCATGCCAGGGATATAGCTAGGCTAAAATCCTGCCCTCCAACATTTAGTTTTCTATGTAGAGGGAACTTTTGTGTATCGTTCAAATCACGAGTCTCTTCTCTATCTGCAGTTCCGAGGTGGCACATCCCAGAAACAGCCTGGCCACCTCAGTGAGGACTAGAATATAGTGAGAAACGTAGTACAGAACAGTCTGTTCGCCTCTGCCAAACCAGACAGAACCCAAATGTTACAATGACTCTTGCATCGGGTTCTGAAATCGAACCTGAGCCGTTAACAAACCCCCCTCAAACGGCAAGTGAAACGGCCTTCGGTTGAGAGGCAAACTTGTTTCAGAATATGTAAGTATACAGAATTAAGGAACATGGGTCTGGTGATGTCAGACACGGAGATCAAAAGTTTTACAGGCATGAACCTGCCAACATGTTGAAGCCTCTGCATTCTGACAATACTTAGATAATTGCAAATACTGAAATGCAGTTTCCAATAAATGCAAAGCACAGAACTGTTAAATGGAGGAGGTGCTCCGAAACTTCCAAAAATGTACAGCAGATCTGGTGGGCGAGGATTACAGATAGCAAATTAGTCATAAGAAAGCAGTTAAGGTCTTTCTGTCTCTAAGCTATGGGCTGCATCCAGTTGGCACCCCCCTGCTGACAGAGGGCCCTTTGATCTAGTGGAGCCTTCCAGGATTGAGTTGGTCTTCAGGGATTTCCACTCTCACTTGATGTTCCAAAGGGTACTCCAAGCCTCCAGGGTGGATTTTGGGAGGCTGGACTATAGGGGAGGCTGGCCATTGCCCAAGAGATCTTTGATATCTGCTCAGCTGACAGAAGGCCCTGCTGGATCAATGAGTCTTTCTACCCGCAGAGGGATATCAACTGGAAGCAACCCTTCGTCACCACCACAGAGAACATAAAAAGAGAAAGTAATCGCCACCGAACAAGTTGCAAGAATTTCATGCCTGTGTCTAAGACTCGATTCATACATTTGTTCTGATGAGTTTACGGCTTGCATTGGGTGAAATGTAGATATTTTTATTGCATGCATCATTTCCAGCTGGACAGCTCAGTTGGTTAGTGCATGGTACTGATAACGTCAAGGTTGCAGGTTCGAACCCCATATGGGACAGCTGCATATTCCTGCATTGCAGTGGGTTGGACTAGATGATCCTCAGGGTCCCTTCCAGCTCGACAGTTCTACGATTCTATGAGTGCCAGTCACCCTAACGAAGATGGTGGAACGTGACACAGGAAATACTTGTAATCCAAGCTGATCTAAACATCCACAGCATATACTACTTAACATGGAAGGAACAGAGCAGATTTGGGGTAGAAAATTAAGCTGCAAAGTCATGTATGAATCAGGCCTTAGTTGCAAAGGGTACCTTCTACCAGGAGATTCTCCTGAGCAATCTCCTGAGTGGAAATTGTGCAAAAACACGACTTTGGAGAGATTCCATTAATTTCACTGGGGCTTGTGCAGGAGACCGTCCTTTCGGGTTGTACTCAGAACGACTAGTTAATTAGAACCTATGTTTCCCTTATAAAAGTGCATTTGCCTCCACTATTGTCATTATTAATATTAATGTTCTAGTTTCTGATTTAACAGCTCACTGTTCATTCCACTTTGAGAAAAGCGGGTATACGCAGCATGCAGCCAAGCTGCTTTGGAAGACAGTTTAACATGATTAGATAAACTGCAATTTTACACCTCTGTCTAAACCACAGAACTGCCTGCAATCTGATACAAGTTATAATCTCAGCAAAATCCACAGCGCCTTTTATTTGGGGGGGGGGGGCAGGGAATTAAGCCCACCAATTTGAAAACCTTTCCATTTTGACTTGCAAAAGCTAGCTCGTTTATGGTAAATTAGAGGCAGGGGAGGAAGAGAACAAACTGTAAAAAAAAAAATCCACGAGGAAACCACATTATTAGGTGGGTTGCTCGAGGATTTGCTATGAAGTAGCAAGGCACACAATTGCCCTGCCCCAACCAACATTTGTTCCCCGCCATTGGCCCTATCAATAAAGGAAGACTGCAGATGATCATGTACCAATATAACCCATTCATAATATGGAATGCATGTAGCCGCTTGATAAACTTGTTGCGTATATTTGTTCGGCCAAGGGGAGAGAAGAATCGTATTGCTCTCTAACTTCTGATCCGGGGAAGAACTGTGGCTAAGACCAGACCAGTGTTCCCCAACCTTGGGCCTCCAGCTGTTTTTGAACTACAATTCCCATCATCCCTGACCACTGGTCTTGCTAGCTAGGGATGATGGGAGTTGTAGTCCAAAAACAGCTGGAGGCCCAAGGTTGGGAAACACTGCCCTAGACATTTGCCCAGGCGATACCAGGTGCTTACGTGAGCACAGTAGCGGTCTGCATCCATCCACTGCAGCAAACCCATTTGCACGGACATCGCCATATATTAAGCATCAATTGCTCCTCAGCAGGTCTGTCCGTCCTTTAAATACAATGGAGGGCCAAACCAAAACAGTAGGCGTGTGATTTGCACTTGCATGCATGTTATTAAAATGGCGAAAAGCAGGCACAATAGGAGGGGGAGGATTTCGATCAGGACCATGGAGAGAGGTGGTTTAACCTTTTCCTCCCTTGCTGTGGTCCCAGCAATGGCGCCGTCAAAGCTCTAAGTCTGTGGGGAACTTCTATCCCAGGGCTGATAGCAGTTTACAGGTGTGTGTGTGTGTGTGAGTGAGCGCACACATGGATTTTCATCAGGACTGTGGCAGGAGAGGAAAGGGTTATCCCACCTTTTAACATGCCCTAATTCTGACCCCACCCCACTTTGCCCCTCTTGCTGCTTACCATTCATTTCTTTCAAATACTTGCATCTCTGATTTTTGATGCATTTACCTTTCATGGCTGCTGACAAGTAAAAAAACCCCAAAAAAAAAAACCCGAAACAAAATAAATAAACGTAAGATCCTGGGGGTGGGGAGTGACTTATGATGGCTTCCAGGTGGTTGTGGGATGATGATGATGGGATCTATCCATTCTCCCAGGCCTAAGATATTGCTGGTCCTTAAGACTTAACATGCAGAGAACTAGAATAGCAGAAGGTTCAGCATGAGGTTTGTCCCTCAGGAGCACCAGTCAGAGGCAAACTACAAGTCTAGACAAGAGCAATAGATCTTATGCTCAGGTTTTTCCTTTTTTCCTCATGCTGGCTTTCCTGCCTGTGGGTGGGGGCACTGTGGGCGTCCATCTCTAAAGAGCCCTACATTCTAACCTGCTGCAGTATGCTTTAGATTTTTAGCTTCAAATACGAAAACAAAGAAACTATTCCTTGGGGGGAACATGTTTATTTGTGTTTGAGATGATACAGTGGATGCTCTCTTCTGAGCTACAAGGTGGTGGCGATGGGAGGGAAAGGGGGGTGAAAGGAAAAGAAAAAAAGAAAAAAAGAGGGGAGGGGGAACCCTTTCATTACAAACCGACGAAGGTAGAAGTTTAAAACAGTTTTCACAACAGCATGTACCACATATCGGAAATAGATCTGGGCTTAATACAAATGACGTAATTTCCTAGTAATCTACAGCTACCTTTAATAACTTCATACAGATAATGAATTAGGCTAAAATGCACTATAATATTTGGTTGACTTCAGGAACGGTATCCTTAGTTACATCACAAAATACATTTTGATATCCCAAAGAAGCAAGACTTGCAAGTAGGCGTTTTAAACATAACTAATCTACAGCTACAAAGTTCTACTCTGGATAGCGTTTACCTTTTCCTTTCTGTTTCTCGTGGTTGGGGAGGGGAGGGGTTAAGGGTCGAGGGGAAGCGATATCCCCGTCTTTGAAAGGATAAAAGCAGAGAGTAGAATCAGTATAACATATACACAGAAGTCCGTATTGTAAAGGCTATAAAGATCGGTTGCACACTGCAGGGGCTGCCTCCGTGCACCTTGGCGCCGCACACCAAGCCGTCGGGGCGTGGCTTATGTTGCGTATCTCTTGGTCCACTGCCTGGCTATCCTGTCATGCTCGGCTCTGTTGGTCAGGTACTGAGTAGCTATGCTTCCTACCAGAGGATCAGCTGCAAGAGTTGGGTGCGTGGGGAAAGGGGGGGGACGACAGGGGAAGAAATGGGAGGAGAGGGAGGGAGACGGCGCGTCAAGATCAGAGACACATCAACATTACAATAGTTCATTTCGCCACACTTGTTTCCAAGCTAAGCTGCGGGGCAGAACCTCCTCAAGCATGCATTGTTCAAAAGACAAGGTGTTTGACCTACACGTCAGCTGGAAAGAGAATGCGGACACTTCTGGACAAGAAGCAATTTTTTTGTGGTTTGGTTCTCCAACAATGTCTTCCTTTTCTCTCTCAAAACTCTCCCCTTCCCCTGAACATTTCACACTGTGATTTTGTGAATGGTGCCCCCAGCACTCTCTCAACATTCAAAATGTGCCCTCTGGTCCAAAATGGTTGGCAATCCAAGGCAATCATCATTAGCAGTCTTTCTTATTCCACCTTTTTAAAGTAAGTTAGAGCTGGACAAACCTACAACTTTGTACATGGGAAGGTATCTCAAGGGCTTTGCAGATTTTGTGATTTAATCTTAAGCAAACTGGGAGTGCTGAGAGTGCATTCCGCAATTAAACTGAATGCAAAGTCTGAATCCGTGGCCAATTCTACTTCAAAGTCCAGGTATTCAGAGGTTTAAACACAACCTGAACAAAGAGGATCCGTTTCCAGGCCGCCCTGTGTAAAAGGAAAACAACCCACCTTTTCAACCTGAATTTATCTCATCCCGGTCTGATCCCACATTTATGCAATTGTTTACACAGTCATTGTACTTTGAACAATCTCTACCCCCCCTTTTTTTTACAACTGAGGCTAGAAATTGTTTTGACTCTGCTTACTACCCAATTAGTAATTCCTGTCCTTTAAAAAAAATAAAATAAACAAAACAAAACAAGCCATTGCCTTACCAGGATTGCAGTCTGTCAAGAGAGAACAAATAGACAGCAAGACCTTTGAAATAGTTAAAGCAGGGCTCCAGTTGTCTTTCAGAATATCCAGACAGATGACTCCTTGACTGTTGATGTTGCAGTGATAGATCCTAGTGCGAAACGTAACCTAGAGGTAGAAGGGGGGGGGTGTAAATTGCAGGGGGGAGGGGAGAGAGAATCATTACACGCTCTTCATGCACAGCTTGTTGCCAGCTTTTTGAAACCAGCCTTGAATTATTCACCCTCTGTGGGAGAATTTTTTTCTATAGAGACCTTTCATTTCATTTCATTTTTTGTTGCTGCTGCTCATTCTGTAAGGCTCATCTGAAAAGTGGTTCCCCGCCACTGCCACTTTTCAAGCAGCTGTCTTGACTCATGTTTGCCATGTAGATCTCAATGTTAAAAGCTTTATTGCGGTTCACCCTCCCCTCCCCAGCAGGCATGCATACAGCATTTTGAAACCCCACTTTGAAACCACCATAACAACAACATAGGGGAATTTATTTTGTATTGTCCTTCTGTGCCTGGGAGATAGACAAAACTGGCACTCAGATGACTAGCTCCGTTCCATTTCAGTGCATGTTAAGGCCAAAACATCAGAGAGAGATATAAAGTTATATAAATTTGCTGTGTGATCGCTGCAAAGGAGTCTGGAGTCTTGGGAGAATTGGGTTAAGGAGCCTGTGTGCAACTAAGCCAGCCCATTTAAATTGTTAGGGGAAATTTAAGTAAATAGTTCAGGGTGGCTAGAAAATAGCTGAAGACAATACAGTCAAACCTTGGTTCGCGAACGCCTTGCGAGTCGAACATTTTGGCTCCGGAATGCCGCAAACCCGGAAGTGAGTGTTCCGGTTTGCAAACGTTCTTTGGAACCCAAACATCTGATGCAGGTTCCGGGTCTTCCAATTGGCTGCAGGAGCTTTCTGCAGCCAATTGGAAGCCATGCCTTGGTTTCCGAACGTTTTGGAAGCCGAACAGACTTCCGGAACGGATTCCGTTCAACTGCCAAGGTTACCACTGTAATAAATAATAATAATAATAATAATAATAATAATAATAATAATAATAATAATAATATTTTATTATTTGTATCCCACCCATCTGGCTGGGTTTCCCCAGCCACTCTGGGCAGCTTACAGCATATATAAAAAATTGTAAAACGTCAGACTTAAAAAAATTCCCAATACAGGGCTGCCTTCTGATGTCTTCTAAAAGTCAGATTTTCAGTTGTTTATTTCCTTGAAATCTGATGGGAGGGCACCACTACTGAGAAGGCTCTCTGCCTGGTTCCCTGCAACCTCACTTCTTGCAGTGAGGGAACCACCAGAAGGTCCTCAGAGCTGGACCTCAGTGTCCAGTGACAAGCTCTCCAGAAGGCTAGAACCATCAGGTCTGAGGGAAAGGGCCAACTAAGCTTAGGTGTGCCTACCAGGGGGCAAGAACATTGGAAGATTCAGGGCGGACAAAAGGTAGAATCGTGGAACTGTAGTGTTGGAAGGGTTCCCAAGAGTCATCTAGTCCAACCCCCTGAAATGCAGGAATATTTTGTCCAACATGGAGCTCAAACCCACTACCCTGAGATTAAGAGTCTCATGCTTTAGTGCAAGGACCAGCAAACTTTTTCAGCAGGGGGCCAGTCCACTGTCCCTCAGACCTTGTGGGGGGGCGGACTGTATTTTGAAGGGAAAAAATGAACGGATTCCTATGCCCCACAAATAACCCAGAGATGCATTTTAAAGAAAAGGACACATTCTACTCATGTAAAAACACACTGATTCCCAGACCGGATTTAGAAGGCAATTGGGCCAGATCTGGCCCCCGGGCCGTAGTTTGCCTACGCATGCTCTACCGACTGAGCTTCATGCAGCACATGGTTAAACTTTGGGATTCACAACCACAGTATGCAGTGACGGGAACCAACTTGGATGGAGAGCAGAGAACCGAGGAAGGAATACACGGCCCCCAACCATAGTCTATGAATCAGGTCAACATGGGGCTTGTCATGGGCTCTGGAGGACAACGAGATATTTTCCAAGTTTCCCTAGAGTGATATAGAAATGAAATGAACACAATACTGTTCACAATACTTTGGAACAGGAGATCTCTCTCTCACACACACACAGGTTTGCATGTGCATGGGGACTAATCTATTGAACTTGGATAGTCTAAAACTATCACATGATCTGTGATATCACATGAGCATTAACATTCCCATGGGAGATTTTCACGGATGGAACAGGGAGCTGCTCGCCTTCAAAGGACTTGAAAAACACTTCTGTTTCCCCATTAGACGGCATCATTATGTGTGAGGCACACCACGCTCTAATTTGTGTCATCATTCTGCTTTAATTGACTTTAACATTCTGTACAAACCCCGCGCAGAGTTGAAATGCATTAGTTACAGAAGGAATACTTTATGGCGCAAACTCTTAATGGCACCGCACGCTAGAGGAAACAAACAAACCAAAACAGCAGTCCTTTCAATGCTTTTCCCTTTTTCTTTTTGCAGAGGGCGGTGCTTTGTAAAAAATAAGTGAAAATGCATAACTCTGAGCAACTTTGTTCTGTTCCAAATTCAAGACCAGGCTCTTTGGCTTCTGCAGAACTGTGAGGACAGATTTCATTTCCTCCCTTTGCTAGGCCACGTGGGGACAGATGGACAGAGAAAAGATGGACTGTACACGATCCGGATAAATGCACAATTAGTTCCACACACAGGCTACCCTCTGCAGGATCAGACCAAAGAGCTCTCTAATTTACCACCCTGTTTCCTCATTTTTTTGGAAGTTCACAAGCAAGAAATGATGGCAGAATCACATCAAAAGGGGCCTTTGGGTTTGGGTTCCCGTCCCCCCCCCCCAAGAAAGCAGTAGCACTCCATGCTGCATGGCAAACTATCTGGGAACTTTCAAAAGCAAGCTTGTGCGGGGAGGGTTTATTGTTTGGTTTTTAAATCCAACAGCCCACTGGGGATACCCAGTCTCTTGTGTATGTCAAAAATAGCTCTTTGGATCTCAGCCAGAATATACAACTTGTTAGACGAGGCACGAAATGGCAGGGGGAGCAGAGGTGAGGAGTTGGGATCTAGGCCCCTTGATTTTTGCAGCATGTCTTCAGCAGATTAACCAGCTTCACAAACCTAACATTTTGTCTTATTTGTACAACAGCAGGTTTCTGAATCTTCCTCATCAAACATCTGCTACGCAGCTGCAATTTTTAAAACAAACATTTATGCTGGCATAAATATCTATACGATATGAGCGAGCACATGAAATTACACTTGGGACAATTTTGTGTGCCGTGTTTTCCATATTCCCAGCCCCCCGCCTAAAGAAACAGGGTTAGACAAACAAATCACTTGCATAAACATTGTTTTGCAAATGATAATTGATTCCAACACCGAAGACTCAAATACACACAACTTTAGTCTTGTAGCTCTGCCCTTATACACAGGGTTGGGGGAGGGAACAAGTATCTTCTGGGGGGGCATGATACATATTGGGTCCCCTGCCCCCCCTCCGTCCACCTAAGCTGGATTTCCAACTTGGAACAAGAAACAGCCATTTCTCAAAAAGTATGCTATACTTAAGTGTAGAGCTATTCAAGCATTATTATATGTAAAGGTAAAGGTAAAGAGAGCCCTGACCATTAGTTCCAATCGTGACCGACTCTGGGGTTGTGGCGCTCATCTCGCTTTATTGACCAAGGGAGCCGGCGTACAGCTTCCGGGTCATGTGGCCAGCATGACTAAGCCGCTTCTGGAGAACCAGAGCAGCGCACGGAAACGTCGTTTACATTCCCGCCAGAGCGGTACCTATTTATCTACTTGCACTTTTGTGCTTCCGAACTGCTGGGTTGGCAGGAGCAGGGACCGAGCAACGGGAGCTCACCCCGTCGTGGGGATTCGAACCGCTGACCTTCTGATCAGCAAGTCCTAGGCTCTGTGGTTTAACCCACAGAGACCGGACAGGAGCACAAAGTTAGCTTAGTTCAAGCTGAGTGTTACACTTCATTTCATCTCAGAATTTCCCTGCTTTGTGTAGTTAACTCACATTGCTTTAATACAGCAACTGTTTCTTTGAAATGGTTAATTTTCTGTTTCAGTTTGAGGCAGCTGAAACACGGAGGTTTAGATTGGTGTTTCCCAAACTTGGGCCTCCGGCTGTTTCTGGACGACAGCTCCCATCATCCCTAGCTGGCAAGACCAGTGGTCAGGGACGATGGGAATTGTAGTCCAAAACAGCCAGAGACCCAAGTTTGGGAAACACCGGTTTCCCAGGGAGTCTAGCACACTAGGCAGTACACTCACCTGATCAAAGGCTGGTAGGAAAGGGGGAACTAAGAGGATATTATTAGCCATTTAGGAATGTTTTCCTGCATGTGTGAGAGGGAATGGAATCACAACCATAAACATTCCCTAAACTATCTAAGGGGGATGGAGGGAGATTAATAGCTACTGGCACGCTAGCAAAATTAATTTTCCCCCACCTCAGGAAATTGCCAACCCTGAGTTGTAAGTTCTGCAACACACTGCGTGCAAGTTAAATGTGCATTCTTGGGCTGCATATTGTACAGCTTGGCACGATCACCGGTTTATTTGAGATCCTGGGCTACGCTTGAAACCTCAGAGCTCCGGAGTCTTCTCTTTCCCTGCTAGTCAAATGTGCAAGCGTCTCATGAGCACTGGTACAAATGTGAAGAATGGAGATACATTCAAGGATGGAGAAGCTGCATATAAAAATACAGAGAGCCACAAATGCTTACCTTTGGTGGTTTAAATGGATAATCGGATGAAAACGTGATATCCAGAAAGAAGACACCACCTTCATACACAGAACCCGGGGGACCGAGGATAGTAGATCTCCACTCGTAAATGTTATCACCTTTAGGCCCAGCACTGTTGAAATAAAAGAGAGGGAGGGATAAACAGAAAGTGATCTGGACAGTTCCTGGGCATTGACAGTCATTACTCATTTCATCCTTAAATCCTCGTCAATGACATCTGTTGTCATTGGTGTGGAGCTTTTGTATGAGTGTGCCATGAGCGAAAGAACGGCACGTCAACTGTGCTTCTGTCAATGTTTTCAAACACAAAACCCATCTTTGTCTTTTATGATATTTAGCTCTGTAGCCTTTTTGTCTGCTGCTCTTTCCGGTGCGTGGGGCATTCATGAAAGAAAGCTGGGGGGGGGGAGGAAGAGGGAATGCCTTAAAACACAAAGGACTACAATCCAACACAGGGAGGGGTTAGGCCTACTTAAACCCATTCATCCACCCCTCACCATTTATATCCAACCTTTTCTTCAAGGAGCTCGCGGCAGCCTGCATGGGCTTATCCCAACTTATCTGCACAATCCTACGAAGCCAGTTAGGCTAAGAGAGAGAGAGTCACTTGCCCACGGTATATCCAGCAAAGCTTCCAAGCTGAGAAGGGATTGCAACCCAGGTCTCTCCGCTCTGGTCCAATAAGACTACAATCCTATGCCCATCTTCCTGAGAGCAAACTCCACAAAACACAGCAGTACTTGCTTTTAAGTCAACTTGCCTAAAACTGTGCCAAAAGGTGCAAACCAGACACAACTCCCTTCGAATGGCTCTCGGCTGTAAATTAGGGCTCCAAGGCAGCGATGGGGAGCCAGCGGCCCTCCACTTGTTACTGGACTCCAACTCAACATCAACCCTGGGAGTTCTGAGTCCAACCAGATCCGACAGACCAAGGGTTCCCCAGTCCTGCTCCGAGGTAACCAATGCAGACATTAAAAGAATGTTTTCTTGCTTGATCCCGCACTGTTCTTGCGGTTTTGCCATACAGTCAGTTCCAGGTAGTTTCCCTCGGGTCCTAAAATACTACAAACGCTTTTTGAATTTGTTCACTCGCTTCCTGAAAAGCCTCCCTTGACCTCCAGAATGAAGATCTGGAAGAGTGGTGGTCAGGAACTGCCATCCCTCAGACCATCACATTATCTGACAGTGAAAGCACTGCTGGGGGGGGGGGATATTATACAATCTAATATAGTTCCGAAGGCCATTTTGGATCCCAAGTGCCTGTATTATATAGTCGATCAGTTTTATAGATATGGACAGCTATTAAAGGATCCGCCCAATACTTATTTTAAGGCTTAAGTGCTCAGCGCATTACAATAATGTAGCAGCAACGATACCACTGTTAAGCTAAACTCCCCCACCCCCCTGAAAAGCCTATTTTGACAGGGGAACCACTATTTTTATAAAGGATGCTGCAAAGTTACTGAAAAAGCCACAAATGCACTTTGAGGTTAACGTTGTAAGAACATCTACATTCATACAGTAATACTATAAGAGGGCCCAATGTCCGTTCTGCTTCCTTTCTTTTTAACACTGATTCAAAAACAGTTTCTGAAAGACTTCAGCAAGTAACCATTTATTTTTTTTATAAAAAGACCTCTAAAGTAATGTTTATCACAAATTTTATATGGAAGCATCAAAGCTCCCTGTTCAAGATTTTTTACACCACTCCCTCCTTCTCAAATAAACTATTCTGCTGGTATGAAATCTGACTGGCCCTCCAGGAGAGGTTTTGTGGCCCTGATGCATTAGTGACGGATTTCATAGAATCATAGAATTGGAAGGCACCCTGAGGATCATGTAGTCCAGCCCCTTGCAATGCTGAAATAGGCACCTGTCCCTTGTGGGGATTGAACCTGCAACCTTGGCATATTCAGGACCATGCTCTAACCAACTGAGCTTCCCCAATGCCACCCACTCTGTTGCTGATCAGAGGGGTTATAGCACAATGAAAGCAGGACAAAAACGGAACGCAACCAAACATTGTGGTAAGCAAAGTTATGGGATTTCTGCACCAACTTACAAAGATATGTTTTGAAGGAAATGGAAGGCAGTCCAACTGCCTCAAAAAAATGAGTACTCGAAGGCAGGATCATAAGCATAAATGAACCATGAAGGTGTCATGAAAAGATGTCCTGGAGGGAAGAGGCCCACATGTTTTATTCCAGGTGTCATTTAGAGAAACCTATCTGGGAAATAAAAGTAAGTTGATAGGGGGCGTTGGGAAAAAGGAGTTGGGAATAGCATAACCATGTTTTTGGCGATATAGCGCGTGGTTGGTCTGGCCAAGTCCAAAATTCAAAACCCCTGCCAGTAGACCTTAAAGACTTCTGGCTCCCGAGCAAGACCAACTAAGTTAGTTCTTGGTATGAGCTTTCGTGTGCATGCACACTTCTTCAGATACTTCTTCAGATGCTTATTGGAGGCGGGGCAAAAGACGACTGGACTCATTTTCATGGATTTGCCATTCCAACCTCTAGATCAGTGGTTCCCAACCTTTTTTGGGCCATGCCCCATCTAAGCATCTCTAAAATCCTGATCCCCCTCCCTCCCCAGTGACATATAATTCTTATTATTCAAAAAGTGAACTCCTATTCACATGGAGGAAGCCTAAAAGGCCATTAACTTTGTGTACGCAAGCTTCCAAAGAACATGACATCCATGAAAGAGAAAAATAAAAGAATGAAAGGACAGCTGGAAAAAAAAATCAGTGTTAATAACTGATTCCCAAATTGCCCCCTGTGGGGCATGTGCCCCACGTTGGGAAACATGGCTCAAAATCTGGAAAGAGATTGGGGTACAAAACTCCTGCAAAATGACTTCTGGGACACTGTACCCTGTTATCCCACGTACATTCAGCAGTGGGTGATCCTTTTGTGACCCGAACGATATTAAGACCACAACATCTGGTAGAATTTCAGAGCAATCAACAGTTGTTGTTTAAACTGTGCTCCGTGACAACAGAGGTGATTCAAATATACTCAAGGAGAATTAAGACGAAGAAGGGACAACAGGCCACAATGCCTAAGTAATTCACATGCATTTCCAAAGTCCCTTAGTTAAATTATTCTGCCTGCGTTTCTTAAGTTTGCTAACAGAACAAAACAGCAGAAGCAATAATGCCAAAAAAAAAAAAAAGGCTGGTGAAATGTAGAAATATTTAAAACCCATGCACAGGCCATCCGGTGCACTAATTAACTCTTTGACATCCATTAAGCATATATCGTTTAATTAGCATTAGGCTTGGAAGTCAAATTTCAGTGGAACAATTCAATTTTGGCACAGGTTTCCTTAATGGCTATTTTATAGCTTAATGCAGAGGTTCATGCTCCTATATCATCTGTCAGCTACCTTTCCTTCAAACACCTCTAATAGCTGGATGCAATTCAATCAGTTTAACGAAACAGCTGAATTGACTTTGCAACATATTTCAGTCAAATTAATCAGTCACAATTAAGGTTACAGCCTCTAGCCGTGTGCCAGACTACCTGGTAATCACTCAAAGAGTCAGAACAAGGGCATCTATCAATTAAATAGTCAAACATCTAAGAGCAATAATTCCTAAGTTACTATTTACAGTCATCTACTGCATTACCATTAGTGCCACTTAAAATTACAAGGGTTGTTCCTAGAGGGGGGAAGTCTACTGGGGGAAAAAATAAATCCATGTATTCTAACCTGGCAGGTGCAGAAGGCATTTTTCAGAAGCCTGACACGTCTGTCTAATACAAGACCTGTCTTCAGATGGATCAGGGTGATAGTGTTCTTCTCCACTGCACTGTGAAAAAGGATGTGGGTGGCGCTGTGGTCTAAACCACTGAGCCTCTTGGGCTTGCTGATCAGAAGGTCGGCGGTTTGAATCCCTGCAATGGGTGAGCTCCAGTAGTTCTGTCCCAGCTCCTGCCAACCTAGCAATTCGAAAGCATTGCAGTGCAAGTAGATAAATAGGTACCACTGCGGTGGGAAGGTAAACGGCATTTCCGTGAGTTCTGGCTTCCGTCACGGTGTTCCGTTGCACCAGAAGCAGTTTAGTCCTGCTGGCCACATGACCCAGAAAGCTGTCTGTGGACAAACGCCGGCTCCCTCGGCCTGAAAGCGAGATGAGTGCCACAACCCCATAGTCACCTTTGACTGGACTTAACCTTCCAGGGGTCCTTTACCTTTGCTTCACCTGCACTGTGATTTCTGTGGTAGTGGGAACCAGGGGAAAATTGAGGTATTTGAAATATCCAAAATGAAATAGACCCTGATCCCCAAAAGTAGGGTTTCCCCTCGCCCTTCCCAACTGTAGTCTGAGGCACCCTTGGGTTCTCAAAGCTTATCATGGGTCCTTCAAGGGGAACAAGGGGAAACCTCCTTAGAAAGAGCAGCTGCCCACTATTCCTTAACCTCCCACAGTAATACACAGCTGTAGGACTTGTGCCCTGGGGGTGAACTCTCAAAATGCATGTGTCAGGGACTGGCTGGATGAGGAGGAGTGGTGGAAAGCTGCCTGAACAAGAGCCCACCCCCCCACCCCCAGGGAAAGCAGGAAGAGGAAGAAGATTCAGACCCTGCCTCCTGGTGGTGGGAAACCGGCCAGAGGAGGGGGGAAAGCTGGGAAGGGCTGGAGGCTGGCAGCTTGGAGGAGGAGGAAGAGGAGGAGGAAACAGGCAGGTGCCCCTGCCCACAGGAATCAGACTTGGCAGCTCCACAACAGAGCCACCCTGACAGCTTCTCTGCTGAAAGCCTGCAAACACCCCTTCCCTTCCCAGACAACAATAATAAGAAAAATTATATTTAGACCCCACCCTTTCCCAGTTCAAAAAACCAGGCTCAGGGCGGCTAACAACAAATTTAAAACACTTAATTGATGCAACAAAAAAAGCATAAAATACAGTATAAAACGTGAATAACAATAAATTCAGAATTCAAAAATCAATTTAGGGGGGAAATCCCTCCAATAAACATTAGATGATCACCAGGGCTAGCCTGGCTAAATTAGTCCTATTTGGGCCAGCGAGGAGACCAGGGGAGAATTAGCTGTGGGATCCCAGAGCGGGTAATCTTCATAAAAAGGGGAGAGGGAGGGAA